AAATTTAGATAAATTTGGAACGAATACACTGAAGATGAATTTTTTGAGACGAAACGTCTGAATCTAGTTCGGGCTGAGGCAGTATAGTATTGGGGGTCAAGAAGGCTTTCAAAAATGTAATAAAATTTCTAGGGTCGTATTTAAAAAAATAAAGTTGTCAATGGTCCTGTAGAGATGAAACGTTACATATAAAAATTGATTATGCCTTTCGATAGAGGGCAAAAAGTGGCCATGAGAGTGTTTTCTTCTTTTTTCAATATCACCTCAAACAAGGCTGAAATGAAACAAAATCGGATTTCCTTAATTTCGTTTTTTTTTTCAAATATTTCGAAAACTAATCATGTTAGCCTTGATTTTTTAGAGGCATAATGCTGGTCCCTGCTGATTTCGCAGCATTGCCCCTATTTAAGCCACTTCGTACCTCTTATCGTTTCCGAGATCCCTGTAGTGAGAAGCGAATTTGTAACAGCCTGTATACAGAACAAAATAGTGATTTTTGAAAAAAAAATTTAGACCAGTTAGGCTCTATCTTCAATGCTTGAATGCTTGATCAAAAAGTTTATCTCAGTTCCAATCTTCTAACTTTTTCTTTGTTTTGACGAATGAATGATGATGAATTTGAAATTTTCAGAATTTCTGAAAATTTGTCGCTGAGTGATTGTTACACAGTGTTTGATACTAAGATAAATTCAGTAATTGTTAAAAGTGGGTAAATTGGATAATTACTAAAAATAAAAATAATAATTTATTAAACATAAAATATTATGAATTTCTGCTTTTATTGTAATTATATTCTATTAAATTAGTTCTCAACCTTATTGATATATCCTCTTTTCATAAATATAGCTTATTTTATTTAATTCTAAACTAAACTTAAACCACCAAAATATAAGAGAATGTATTACTTGAAAGTTCTTTGATTGATGGTTGTGTCACTATGTCAGTAAATATCCTCCTTGGTTCAACTGCAATATCAAAAAACTTAATTATTTATCTGCTACAGCTCAAATAAACAATTCCAATATCTTATATATTGAAAATATATTTGCAGGCGAAATGACTTAAATCCTTGGAATCTAAAACAACCGGGCCAGATTACATTCCGTCTTTCATCCTCAAAAATTGTGCATCTGTGTTACGTAAGCCAGTCGACTTTCTTTTTAATTTAATTCCTAGTACACGTGATTTTCTAAATGCCTGGAAATTATTGCGTATAGGTCAGATTTTTAAGAGTAGAGACTTATCTAATTACCGTCCAGTTAAAATAAGTTGAATTTCGGACAAAACTTTTGAAACTGCCCTTCATTCCTCCTAATATATTCACGTAAGTAATGTAATTACTACTAATTCAATAACGCAATATATCGGAAACCTTTATAATTGATGTAATTTATAGAGACATAACGAATACTTTCGACCATCTCCACCACGAGATTATTTTTGACAAACTTGATCGCAAATTACCTGTATGTCTACTATTTAAATCTTACGTCACGCCAGACTACAATTTGTTCAATGTCAAGGATTTAAATCGACATAATTTAATGCATTATCTAAGCTTCCTCAGGAATCAATTCTGGGTCCTTTGTTTATAACATTTATGTTAACTCTTGTCTTGATACCTACTATATGCGGATGATATGAAAATTTCTCGATCAGTGTCTAACGTTGCACATTGAGAATTGTTTCTTTCAGTTTAATTTGAACTAAGTATATATTTGTTTTTAATTTGTCTTTTGTTTTTCTTGTTTCTGTTATTACTTGTATCATTTTTGATATAACCTGTTTTGTGTAACTCGCTTGTTCTGTAAATGGTTTTGCTGTTAGGCAGTATATTAAAATAAAATAAAAATAAAATTAAATAACATGTTTATCTGATTACGGCTAGCTACCAACGAAAATATCACGTTATATATTTGGTCGCTATAAAGGATCCCCTTACATAACCTAAAGCAGTTTTAATTGATAAGAGGATATATTTCATTCAACGTCTTTCCCCCTTGTAGGGAACATTTATCTTTTACATAAAAGACATGCCTCCTTTGAGAATCTACGCATGGCTAATAATATAAAGGATCTGCGTTTGTGGAACAAAGATATATTCTCCTCGTAACGTTATTGGCATAACAATATATCAAATTTACCAGAAAATCTCATATAGGACTTGTGAGACATGCTATAAAGCTGCTATTTTCTAAAATTATGCATGTACAGGGTTCCAGTTTTAAGTAGAACAGTTCTGGCAGATGATTTAATAGTCTAAACAAAAAAATTTAACCGAGACGTAGCAAAGTAAGTTTGAGCTTTGAGAAAAGTCACTTATTATATACACCGTAATAATGTAAGAGTTTAATTAAAAGCCTTTGTTCTCGAAAATCGTCCACATTAGGAAGTTCTAACAAGAGTACATTGTTTTTAGAAAATAAAATTGTACATTAGAAATTGGAACCCGAATGGTAAAAACCTAACCTTAAAAAAAGTAGAACTTAATATGTAATAGGAATGTAGAAAAAACTAGCGCCCTCTACGAAATATACAAAAAATAATTAGACCATCTTATTTGGCATCCTTAAAAACCTCGGAATACCAAATTTCATAAAAATATTTTGCACCGTTTGGAAATTTTCATAAAAATGTTATTTAAAAAAATTTATTTTGTCGCTCTGTATCTCGAAAACAAGAGGAGATAGACATATAGTTCATATGACAAAAAATTCTCATTTTTTGTCGTCCTCACCCCCTGTATTTCCCCCCTGTATTTATGGGTCTTTCTGAAACACCCCGTATTGTATATTTATATGGAATTTTGCTTAATACATGAAAATATCTTATTAGAAATTATAAATACATGTACACATTTTTTACGAAATTTTTTTCATCACTTTTTGTCGGACTGACGATTTGCGGATATATTTTTGTCGGACATTACAATTTTTGTTTATAAAAAACACTTTTCTATCGTGTGTTATTTTTGTCCGACATGTGGTAATCGATTTATCATACCCCGTGAAAAGTCCGATTTCCAGCTGTCGGACTGAAAAAACGCGGCTTGAAATTTGTCGGACAAAAATACTTTTTGACTAAATTAATTATTTACAATTAATTTTACTAAAAATTACCTATGTGGTAATTGATTTTCAATACACTGTTATTTTGACATGTTTAGACCGGTAGACACGTCAATGTCGGAAGAATTTCTGTCGGACAAATTTAAATCGGCATTTGCAACAAAATTTCCAGTTACTAAAGCTAAAAATAAAAGATGTGGTCTTGTAACTACTATATGTCAAACAAAACTTAACAAATTTTTCAACTATAAATCAGCTGCACACTCATAATATTAGATCAAAGAATAATTTAACTACTAACTATTTAGGACTAAGTAAGACTAGAAATGGTACGGGTTATATAGGAATACGTCTTTACAATGCCCTACCAATCCACATAAGGAATCTCAATCCTAATCAATTTAAAAATAGGATAAAAAAATTTCTTTTAAGAATTGCTTTTTATAATATTGAGCAGTTTTTTGACAGTGACTTTAATAATTTGTGAGCTCCGAGCTATTGTGTTTGTTTTTAATATTGTTTTATCTGATTTTATTTATTCTGTTACAATGTAAATTTTAATCTGTATTCATATTTTTACTAATTTTAGGATTATGTATGTATGTAACTGTGTTGTAATTTGAAAATATCAATGTTTCTTTTCTGACGTGTGTAAACACTTTGTGTAATAACACGAATCAATAAAAATGTAAAAATGTAAAATGTAAATGTAAATTGGTAAATATTTTTTAGAGGTCAAATTTCCATTTATAAAATATCCACTAGTTCATTACAACTTCGTTTTCTATCACCACATCCTATGATCATTAAAACTTCGCTCAGTTTCACTTAAACGTGTCATTTTTGCAAGAAAATTATTCACACTAAATGTATTTTTGACATGTGCTGTCAAGATAATTACTATTAAACAAAAGAACGACACGGCGTATTATGGAGCTAGAAACTTTCAAAGGTAACTTGATGGACTATAAATTTAATAAATTAAAATATTTTTGTATAATTTATAAGAAAATAATTTTCAAACTTCGATATCTCGATAACGGTTAATTTAGCTACATGATGTGCTATATGAATTTTGTTTAGAATTTCGAGAAAAATTGAAATAATATTTCAATATTATAATTCAATAATAATATACAGGGTGTTCCATTAAAGAAAAATCAATTTTATTTTGTCGTCTGATCCTGTATATTCAATTTTTCTTTGTTGTAATAGATTTTAAAAAACCCTAAAACGTTTGTGTCTCATGATTTTGCGATAGCTTTCTTACTTTAGGAGATAATCGACCGTTTTCATACATACAGCAACCCTGTATAATATAAATAATGCTGATCTAAACAAAAGGGGAAATACACCGGTAAACGATTTTAGTTGCTTTTTTCATTATATAAAACATCCCCAACAACACAAACATATTGGAAAAGCATTTTTTCCACGTATTGGCCAAATATTGTACAAGACAGATTTTGACATAATACCGGTTGACAATATAAACCCATTATGGGTCCAAGATTAATCTACTGGATGTGTTGTTGACTGCATATATTGGACGTCGATTTTCTCCGTTCGCGCTCTGATATTTTAGACCAAAATTACATTTAAAATAAATATATGTGCCAAATTTCAAACAAATATCTCTAAAATCACCGAAGCTTTTTTAAAATATTGACTTTAACACCCTGCATTTTGAAAATTGGGCTCCAAAATGAAAAGTGGCATAAGGAAAGTCCTATTATTTTAGTCCAAAGAATATGTGGTTAGCGGCTTTACCTACTTATTTGTAACACACTGTATATTTGAAAATGATGATTTCTCTTAGAATTCAAGTAATAAGTTTTAACAGTAACGGGAAAAGAATATGCTGTAGCAAATTTTAAAAGTTCTCTACAAAATTTTTCTTACAATTTTTTTCCGAGAATAATGAGAAATAAGGAAGTAACATTTATTGCGGTCCACCCTCTACATTCTTCTTTGTTTTGCAGATGTACGCCTTACTTTGTGTGATATCACAATACCAGGAATTGAAACAAGGAAGAGGGAGAGCCAGAGATGATCAAATGTATAGGGTAAGGAATCACAGATTTCAAATTTAATAAAAGTAAAATTTCAAGGGTTAGATACCTTCCATATAAATAAAATTTCAAATAATGAAACTCGGTATCTCCGCTGAATATAGCATTGTATTTCATCGTAACTTTTATTAGAACGGCGTCTTTCCTTTAAATTTAACATAAAATAATACAGAATTTCGTAAATGATTACAAGTCACGTGATTGTCAGGCGCACGCCACCACCATTGCACGATTGGCACTGTTAAATAAAAAAAATCCCTAAATCCAGCAAATTTTCCTATGTACTGCAAATGTAAACATTACAGTTATATTATTTCTTTAAAAGACCAACAGTCGATAAATTAATGCAAAAAATTAAAGGGTCAAATGAATCTCCGAAATTTTTCCGGGATTTTTGACAGACTGTATTTAGGGGAAAAATGGTTGTATCGGGAATTAAAAAAATGAATTTTGAAGCTCTAAGATTCTAGTTTTTAGATCTTTCGGTCGAAATTTTTTAGGAGCTACGGTTATCATGCAATTCTAAGAAATAGCGCGACAAAAATTCTAGCTTGTTTATTCAGCTTCAATTTCCTTCTTTTTAAATTTCGATACAACCATTTTTCATCGAAATATCGGACTTTTTCGCATTATCTTAGTTTAGAGTATATTTGTATGGTTCGTCCTAATTTTTTTCTTTAATGACATCCCGAATATTTGAAAACCGTGCAAGAACTTACTAAGTCGTTGTTTCACTTCTTCGTTCAGAAATACTGGGATGTTTCTTTAGAAACGCCTAACACGATCTTGCTCTTATGGTTTTGGTAATTTTTAATTTTACCATAATTTCATTGCCAGCGCGAAGAACAAAACTTTTCAAGCAAAATTACTGGTCAGGTGGCTTGTAATCATTTATGCATGCTCCGTATATTAATCAAACTTTGATCTGGATTAAATATGCATCGTTACCTTCAGTAACCGAAATACAATATCTTTTTAAATAATACCCACAACTTACTGGTGAATTGAGCCATTTTTATGTTATATAAAATAACTTTGTGGAAAAATTCTAATGGCCAATTACACTTAGCGAAGGAACGTTTAAGCTCTACATCATCGTTTGACATGTGTGACAGTTAACGTCAAGGGTAAAAGGTTCCAAACAATTTCATACCATAACACTAGAGTCGGTGCAAAAATGAAGCAGTAAAATATTGCTCTAAGATGATTGGCATTGATAGGAAAAAGTATATTGTGAATATCTATCTTTTACACATACCTAATTTTAATATAATGCGAGGCGTAAACAAGTCAGCTTTTTATCTAGTGAAATGTGTTTTACTCCTAAATGAAGAATCTTTATTTTTAGTTGAATTTCAAGCGACAGTCTATAAGAACGTTTTCCGAAATACAAAACTACATAGAAAAAAAATAGATACGTATTTCATTCCTTTTTGATATTTTAATTATAGATTATTACAGAGAGCTTTTTGATTTCACGACACAATTTGAAAGATTATTTAAAATTTGTTTTCGAGATATAACATTTAATGTAAGAAATATTAGCAGGAATTGCCATTAAGAATCCCAGAATTTCGATACAACTAATTATTTTGCAAATCCAGTTAGTATAGTCTCTCCGGAGTCATTTGAACATGTATAAAAACTAGCAATAAAATTTAATGAGTTTTATAGGCGTCCCTAAAAAAGTTTTCTGGTAAAGGTAAAAAATTATACAATAATTTGTATATAATGTGTAGAAAATTTCTATGTCCATTGGACCAACGACATATTTTAATTATTTATGTCCTTAAACAATTTTATTATATACAGGGTGTTTCAGGATTAAGTCGACAAACTTTAAGGAGATATTCTTCATAAAAAAATAAAAAAAAAACAAGTGTAATTTTTTTTCCAGAGGGCGTTAAAGATTTTTTAAAAATTCGAATTTTTTAAATAACTTCTAAATGAGGAAGGCTATTTAAGCCCAATTTGGCATGACACATCTTCCTATACGATACCATTTTTTCATAGAAGTAGAAGTCCCGCAAGCAACCAATGGTGGAGTTATGAGGACTCAGACTCATTAAATTATAAAAAAAATTAATACGTAATAAAAATTTTGCTGTTTTTAGATAGAACAGTTTGTTATTGACAAAAAGTGTACATTCACTTTTTTCCTAACTCTTATAGTTTCATGGCAAAATTGATATTTCGGAAGGGTGCTTCTGGATTCTGTTGATAAACTTTAGGAAGACGTTCCTAATAAAACCTAAAAAAATATAGTACCTATTAAAATTGGTCTTAGTATCGAGTATGTGTGAGTGAAATAAGCCTTTTTGTCTCCCCTTCCCTTGGGTTTAACCAATAGTATTAAAATTATTTAGGAGTTGCTTCGTTTTTGAGATATACGATGCTTTTTTTAGAAAAAAAAATGATGTTGATGAAAACAATAGAAATATTTAAGTACCTAACATCAAATAATGTGACTATGTCGTAATGCGACAACGTAACGACCCTTGCAATACTCTTACATTTTTTCAGGCGGTTTATAGTCACTTCATTTACTTGTGTTGTGTACTTTGTGTACTACTACTCGACAGAATCCAGAAACACCCTTCCGAAAAATCAATTTTGTCATGAAACTATAAGAGTTAGGAAAAAAGTGAATGTACACTTTTTGTCAATAACAAACTGTTCTATCTAAAAACAGCATCATTTTTTATTTTCAGTAGGGCCGTATTAATTTTTTTATAATTTAATGAACCTGAGTCCCCATAACTCCGCCACTGGTTGCTTGTGGGACTTCTACTTCTATGGAAAAATGGTATCTTATATAAAGATGAGTCGTGCCAAATTTGGCTTAAATAACCTTCTTCATTTAGAAGTTATTTAAAAAATTCGAATTTTTTTAAAAATCTTTAACGCCCTATATTTTGAAAATGAGGCGTATGGAAAAAAATGTATTCTTGATTTTTTTCTTATTTTTTTTGTGAGGAATGTCTCCTTAAAGTTTGTCGACTTAATCCTGAAGCACCCTGTATATTGATGGTAAATTTCGTTTTGTTCCGTTTCAAAGGGTCTCCAAATGCCATGTTGTAACAATATTAGTAAACAAAATATTCCTCTTATTTCTCCCTTTCGCAATTGTAATATGAATGATTAATATAAGGTGCCTATAATAAATTAAAATTACCTGAATCACACCAAATTCCGCATTGCTGCACTGCACTGCTAGGCCATTTGTCGACAACTGTATTTATGGCCAGGTCGTCCAGTTCGGCTGTATTTGTGCCGCGTTTGCCCGCGCGCTCATTCTTCAACTGTGCAACCAGACCTGTATATGGGTATGACTAAATAAATATGGGAACAATTTTATCAAATATTTCAGTGCCGAGTTGCTGCGTCAGCGACCGAACCTTCTACATACTGCCAACCTCTTAGTTCATCAATTGAGATCGGAAAAACTATACATTCAATTTTCAAAGTAATTTGAAAATATGGTATTGAAAATAATGACAAAACTAAATTATAAAATAAATAAATCATATCCGTGGCAAAAAATTACTGTAGATCTACTTTTGGATCATCTGTGCATAATTCATTTGTTATACTTATACCAGTACAACTTGTCTGTAACCAAAGTTGAGAAAAAAACAGTCCTCAGTTACATTTTCCATATTTTCCTCTTCTTATTAATCGATTGTATTTTAATATCATTTGCCCATGTGTATGGATACTTGCGAAAGCATTCCTCCGTCAAACATCTCACTTACTTGCAATATAACCTACTATTTTCTTTTCAGATACCAAATGTCCACTACAGCTCCCAGCCAACTGCGACCAGCTACTTTAGTTCGAGGAAGCCAGTGACGTATTACGAAACAAAACCTACACCAACGCAAAGTCCGACAGGCATCCCACCCTCTGCTCCAAGCATACCCGATATCCTGTCGCCGAATATTAATAACAGAAGGGGATCTAGGAAATCGGTCAAATTCCCCGATAACTCAAACCTAACCCTTCACAATGGATCGCAACTATTAGATCCATGGTCGATAGAAGTGAAATCCCCCATGTTGCTTCCCAAAGGGATCGACACCGCACCCCTTTTAGATTCAAGTGTGCCACAAGTAACTCAATCTAGTGTGTAGGAGTTAAGGATTTGTATATACTTGTAAATGTTGTTTTTGAGGTTTTTTAACACGTTTTTACAAGACAAACTAATGGAAGTGTACATAGATGTAAACAAACCAGTGTATAAATTTTGTATTTGTCAAATATAAGAGTAGTTTATTTGTGTCAATAATGTCAATTAAATAACGACCGTCAATAATATGTTTTTATTTAAACATGACGGTTTATATATTAGCAGAAATATTTTGTACCTTTTTTATCTCTTAAAGAAGATCCAAAATGACGTTGAATGTTGGATTAATATTTAAACTGTCGTTATATCGAGCCCAAATTAAAAACATGTTATACATATCGTTCGTTATTGAAGTATAGAAGTAGTAATAAATAAATTTGAATGAATTTTAATAAGTTTCTTATTGCCTTTTTACCCACATACTTTGTGCTCAACTGTTTTCGAGATACAGGGTGTTAAAAACAGGGTGAAGTTAAAAAATCTCATATTTATTCAAATATCTGTTCAAAATGAAGCTTAGGCTAATCTAATTAATGAAAGGAAAAAATTCAATGAATTGGTATAACTCTGTCAATCAAAGGCGGAGAATCTCATAATTTCAACGCCACTGGGTATTTTGAAAATATTAAGAAAAAAAGTGTATATTTACTTCACTTTATTCGAAAAGCTAGCCACTTTCAACTTATTGTCACTTTTAATTAAAAACAAAACATAAAATACCTTTCAAACATTTTATTTCATGAAAGAAATATAGAACTTTTTCAAAATACTGTTCAAAACACAGCCGAAGTATCCAAAAAGAATAATTATCTGACGTATATTCAGTCGGAAACATAATTACCAAATAAATTTAACATTTCTAGATAAGCGATTAGTTTTTATTTTTATTGGTTAAAATACACCTCAATTTCATTTTGAACAAAAAATTTCTGTAGATTCTCTCTACGACCCAAATATTTTGGAATTATTTTCAATGTATTCAATTGCGCGGTATGCTTGTTTTAAGTTTAAAAAAATAATAACCGGAGAATGACTCGTTTTTCGAATAAAATAAAAGATACGCTTTTTACTGAAAGCAACATTGGGCACTAAATGTACATACTTATCCAATTTTCAAAATACCTACTGGAGTTGAGATTCTCAGTGATTGTACTTCACAATACTCCGACAAATAGTTGGCCAAACACGCGCGCGCGCGCTCTTCCCTTAAAAAATCGCGATGTGTGTTACACGCTTTAAAAAAATTAAAAATCACTAAGGGATTTTTTTAACAGTCCTTGATTGCTCGGAACTTTATACTAATGCCTTAAAGTGCAATTAAAAATAAAATAAAAACAAATGAATCGTATAGCATAGAACAAAGCCACACTTTTTCCGTGATCCGAAAGATTGTATTTTTTCGAAATAAAAGAATTTGTGGTGTATTACTACACCAATTTTTTGTATTTAGTTAGTTATATCATTAGCCAACTTTCTTTAATTTAAGTGTAGAATATTTCTGTCTTTTATTATTCAAGTCGTACAGGACAAAGGATATGTTCAGTGCTATGTTGAGAAAATGTTGTGAAGAAACATATAAAGATTGTATTTAAAATAAATTTAATACATTCCTTGGCTAGAAACAAAACAATAGTTTTTCAAATAACTTTAAAACTAATATACAGGGTGTTTGTAAATAAGTGCGAAATATTTTAGAGGGTGGTTACCGAAGTTATTTTGTAAAAAAAGTTCATATAAACTTAGGTCGAAATATGCTTCTTTTCCGAGTGTTTAAATTTAAATTTTTTATTTATTTTTATTAATTATTTCAAAGAGTTTTAAAGATATTGATTCGAAATTTGAAAAACGCTTTGGAGTTAAAAATATTGATTCGAAATTTGAAAAACGCTTTGGAGGAATAAATGTGCATTTTTTGGGGTGATCCGAATATTTCTACTTCCGCCAGTGGCATTCGTGCGAGAATGCCATATTTTTTTTAATAAGAAGAAATGGTACGCCACTGACTTTTTCCCGTTTTGATATTTTTTAGAAATCCGCCATCAATTCTGAATGAAATTTAATTTTTTTCGTAGGATGCACTGTTTTTGAGGCAAAAAATCAAACATATTTTACTGCAAGTTGTGTATTTTTAATTTTTATTGATACGTTATCTAGTAGGTTACTGTCAATATTTCTAAATAAAATATAACCATCAAATTTCGAGTCAATATCTTTAAAATTCTTTGAAATAATTAGTAAAAATAAATAAATTATTAAAATTTAAACACTCTGTATCTCGGAAACGAAATATATTTCGACTTACGTTTATATGAACTTTTTTCCACAAAATAACTTCGGCTACCACCCCCTATAATATTTCGCACTTATCTACAAACACCCTGTATATATAAACCTAAACATGTTTTCTAGGGGTCTCAGGGTTGTTTCAAAGAAATGAAATAGTTCTCAATTTTGGGAAAATATATTCGTTTTTACTCGAAATCCATAGAAGATATTAATTATAACTGAAGGTAAACAAAAAGTTATGGGGACGAAAGCCCCGAAATAAAACACTCTATATGTCACTTTCTTACATAGGTATTCTAGTAATGTCTTTCCTCAAATAAATAAGGCTTATAAAATGAAATTCGGAAAATCATAACTTATGTCCAAAACAACTTAAACTGAAGAGTTATATCTGCCATCAAGTTAATGGGATTATAATATTAGAGAATGCAAAGGTCGATACCTGCAATTTCCCTATTATGTGGCCTATAAATTTTAGGAATACGGGGAGATTACTGGGATTTCAGAATTCCTGTTCCTAAATAAGTTAATCTGGGGGATTTGGCCTAATACCTCCGAATTTGTAGAAAAAGTTACCTGAATCAAACAAATGTATGCTTTTCCAAGCTAGGATACTGTTCCAGAGTCGTCCATGAGTGTATTTCATTTAAACAAATATGGCAAACTGGAGTAGGTGATAGAGGCTTTAAAATATTAATATCAGAAAAAATATATAAGTACAGGGCATTTCAATTTTCATTTATTGTAGGTTTAAATAATATCGCGGAAATGTAATTTATTGTCATTGTTATGACTATTTTATGATTCGATTTCTTTTTTTTTCAATTTTTCGAAGAGTTCATCAGAGCTCTAGAATTACAGAGTTATGGATATTTTTATGGGGTGAGTTAAAACCTGAAAAAAAAACTATACCTACGTGAACATATAAAATACATTGTTGTATACAGCAGTCCTTAGTCTTTTAATATCAATTATTTTCAAAAGAATAAAACACATATTTAGTTTAAATTAGTTTCTTTATTGGTATTGTGTATAAACAAATAATTTACACAAGAGAACAGTACACAAAATAAGAGATAAAAATTAATAAAAATAGATGTAAAGCATAGTTAAAATAGAATTAAAAATAATAAAATAGTTTATACATTTTTTATCAAGGATTCTTATGTGCTATAAAATGCCTTATTCAACAGAAACTCCTTTATCCTGTATTTAAAGTATTTGCAATTTAAATCTTTAAATGTTTTTGGTAATGAATTATAAAATTTAATACCCCAATAAATAACTTGTCTTCGAGAATTTCAAATAAGGGTTTTATAAAGTACCATTAATTCTGGTAAAGTGGCAATGAATCTCGAACACAGTATACTTTTCTGTATTGTTCTTTATGTGTAGTAGTCGTTGTAAAATGTGTATATACAGGGTAGTGTTAATATTCTGAGTTGAATGAGTTTTTGCCTGCAATTACTCCAATATTAAGTCCAGCTATTATCTATATTGCTCTTCTTTATAGAGCAAATACATAAGCAGTTTTTAAATTTATAAATAATTTGGTTTTTGTATTATTTAGTTTTACCAACCACTGTAAGCAATGATGTATTTGGTGTTTTTAAATGTGTTCATATCCCTGGTAGCACAATCGTGTGCAATTCTAATACAAGTTGTTTCAAGTTTACTTGAAATAACCAAATTGTGTCAGATTGTTTTGTGTCTATTGCTGAAATTTATATCGCTTCTTATGCAAGATACTTTTACAATACTTGCACCAGACTTAACCAAAAGTACTTGAGTCCAAAGGAGTGAATTAGTATAAGTTAAGTGCAATATGTCTTACTTAATTCTAATATAAGTCTGCAACATAGTCACTTGCTTTAATTTAGCCCTTTGTGCTCAAGTGCCCTGAATCAAATCCATTGAAAGCTTTGATCAAGACAATTGCACAATGAATCTTGCAGTAAACCTGATGCTGATTTCAGCAGTAGGTACACAGCAGTTTTGTATAAGTATCTTGTGCAAGATTTTGCTACCAGGGATATTTCCAAAATTTTATTGTATCCAAAATGATGTCATTTCGTAGCTCTGACGAAGATTTAAGCAGCGCGCACTGAGTATGCTCGTTTGAATCCCGGGTTTTCAAATCCATGTCGAGGTGCATTTTATGGACTGATGAGGTGACTTTTACAACAGCTGGTATTTATAATAGAAAAAATACTCATACCTGGGCAAATGAAAATCCTCACTGTAATATGGAAATTCCAAGTCAAGGACGCACTTCGTTTAGTGTTTGGTGCGATATATTGAGAAATAAAATCATTGGCCCACTATTTTATGAAGATGCTTTGACTGGGGAAAGATACCTGCATTTTCTTGAAAATCAAATAGAAAACAAATTGGAAGACCAGCCGCTGAACACTATACCAATTTAGTTTGGCACCAAGACGGAACGCTTCCGCATAGAACCAGAGCATTACGAAATTATTTAAATAATAGATTTGATTTGTGGATTGGTAATGGAGGAAATATTCAATGGCTTACACCCTTGGACAGTTTTCTGTGGGGTTACTTAAAAAACGTTTGTAAGGAAACTAGTGTAAACTTAGATGAACTAAAACATAAAGTTGGTCAATGTATACAAAATTTAAATGAATTTAATTCCCATTTCATACTAAATGCAGTTCTGAAAATTAATGAGGATTATACGAAGTGCATCAATAATAATGGCGGTCACACTGAGCATCTGTGACCATTTGTGTTTTAGTTGGTTTTGATTAATTAGGTATTAAAATTATGTTAAGTTACTAATGATTTTTATTATTATCATAAAATAAACGGATAACTTCAAATTTTGTGAAAATAGTTTGTGTTATAGGAAATAAATTAATGATGATAAATATACTTCTATCAAAGTCATTTGTTTATTCCGTGTGCCTTGTCCATAGCCACTACGAATAGTTTTAAATTGAAATATGTCGAAAAGTCCTGAATTAAACAGTAACGTATTATAAATTTTTGAAAAGAGAAAAATTTAACGAAGCTAAGTATGCACTAATATAGGGTGATTCACAACTTATCCAAAAAAAAAAATGGGAATACATGCAGCATGAGAAATGGAATCAATATCGTAAAAAAAATTGTAAAATCCTTATAGTTTCCGAGAAAAAAAATATTGAAGTTATAGTACATTCAACCACTACATAGTTGGACAACTGTAGTATCTATCGTCATTCGCCACGTGGCCTCAGCGACTCCGAATACTGAATTCGGATTTTGCAATCGTCGTTGCGATTTTTACCTGTTATCTGTGGTGTTTACATTAGGTTTTTAGTAGTTAGTGTCAAAAATGGGTAGTTAGTGTCAAAAATGGTTTGCGTGTACTCGGAGTTGATGGATATCGTTTTAATTTATGGTGAAGCATTTGTGTTATGGTGAAACAAGACAACATTTGTGTTAGTTCGTAGAAACTGAGTACAACGGCCCCAAATGTGTTTACACATCGCTGGATAAAACTTTGAACAATTGTTGTAACATCGGGTATGTCAAATGATTTTATTATTTAAAAACCCAAATTAATTTTATTAATTAATAAATTCAAAAGCAGTTGAATTTGCCGATATAAAATAGATGCGATAAAATTATATTTACATATTTCTTTCCTTGCGAAAGTTTTTGTCCGTTTTTATCACACTGCCATGCCAGTCGCATTGTGCGAAGTCAGGTTTTACAGTGGATCAGTTTCCAGTGCCGTGCAGAAGTGTATTTTTAAATCATTTTCGAACTGCCCTTTTTGATTTTTTCTTTACAAAATTGTATTTGTAAGAGTCCCCTGTACATCCAGATTTTTTTTGTGTAAGTTCTGAATCACCCTGTATAGAGTTCCATTTTAAAAAATTTTTTTCTTTAATTTAGTGATTTCTATTATTCAATTGTTTTTTTCTAATACTGTATTATAAAAATTCATAAAAAAGCTAAAACTTTTATATTAAAAACTTGTTTGATATTTCAATAATAAACTCACAATAAGTTGTCAGATTATAGTGACTAACCCTGTACAAGTAGTATGCTATGCCTATGGACATTTTAATGATATTAAATTAAATCGCACACTAAGTTTAGCTTAAAAACTACATTTGTCAATTTTTCTTCAAGTTGCTACATTTTGAATAAAACGGCAAACCAAAATTAAAATTGATATTTAAAAAGAAAGATTTTGAGACCTGTTTCTATGAAAATTTCGATAGTGAATGTGACTGTTCCCACAAAAAAAATTGTTTGGATAAATACATTTAATTGTATTAGTCTTCCTTTCTTTTAGAAAGTACAATTACTATAAAAAAAAATTATTCTTTGTTGATTTAATACCAGATGCAATGATTTAAAGATTTCATTTAAATAATGCATAAATACAAAAAGTAAAATAATAAAACCTACATGTTTACTCATATATTAAATTATAAACATATTAACATTTTGTGGTTATAATGACAATACATTAGTTGTGAATTTGCCAATAATATTTATTATTCAAATATTAAAAAGAAGTTAAATTACATCTCAAAGATATCAAATCATATCGTATAGCTATGCTAGAAACGTAAGTTCTACAACGAATAATAAATGACACCTGAATATTCAATATGTCAACTAATTTATGGTGCTATTTTCTAGCATCCTATAAAGACTGTAACTGAAATAAAAGTATGAATGTCAATTTTATAGTTGATGTAACTAATAATATTCCAAAAAGTATTAATCAACTATTCTTAAAAACGTCACAAAAAATAAAATGTTTCTGTAAACATTAAGATTAAGTACATTATTTTTTATCTTTGCTCTTTTATCTCGGTATAAATTTACTACACTAATCTTTGATTACGTTTTCCGCAACATTAAAAAAGTTATAAACAATAATCATATTAATATCATATAGATTTGTACCAAGTTACTGGCCTTGCCTAAATGTCAGTCCATCTTAACTTAGTTTTTATTTTTGAGTTATCTGAAGAAATGTGACGCCGTATTATGTCATATTTTACTCATTTCATATTTATGATATGGGAAATATTAATATGGGATTCGATGGTTCACCTCTATGATAAAAAATAATATAGATATGGTTATTAGGGCATACCAAAACAGAAACAGACTAGAGAGATTGACCAAACAACTACTATTGCAATACTGAAAGCTTTTTTTTTTTTAATTATAACATAATATAAACAGTATTATATCTAAAATAATATGAGTTTAGTCAGTATACAAATTCTAATGTCTATAAAAAATTTTTCGTCGATAGCTACACCATATTTAACATTTTATATCATTTAGTAAGTTAAGGGGTGACATTTACAACCAATAACCTGACACCAGTATAACAATTTACATACATCTATAAGCATTAAAACAATTCTAGATTATTTGATGTATTTCATATTCTGCATATAATATATAATTTTCAACACACGTAAACGATTATAACATTTTTATAACAATTTTATAAATTAATAAGCTTAGGAATATTTGGCAGCTGTAATCTTTATGATACCGAACTAATTGCATTATGCGGAGATCCCATCTGAGTCAACACCTTGTCCAACCATTGCAATGGTCCATGTAAGTGCACCTCGATCCAACACGGCGTACTTGTTACGTCCTGTCGATGATACTCCGCACCCCACCCTTTAACGAAACTCATCCGAATGGTACACATTTTGGTCAGTTCGTAGACCGCCTCGAACCCATGATTAACGCACTGTGAAAGCAGCTGAGCAAATTCAGCGTTGTTAAATATTTTCAAAGAACAACCCGGAGGAATTTTGCATACTGTCGATGGATGGAATCCGTGGCGTTGATTGCAGTTTCTCGACTGGACAAAAACTGAATACTCCGACAAGCATTCTGCGTATACCTCGCCGTTGGCATAGTATATGTGGACCCCCTTACCAATGTGACGCCTTGTGTTCTCGATTGTAGAATTTCTGTTCACGTTGCTGAGCTGTCCCAAGCAAAAACGGGACCTCACCCTATTGTTGCAAGGGCTCGTAAACCCATCTACGATTACAGAAGTACAATTGCAGTGAAAGGTCTCTCCCACTTTACAATTGAGCTCGTAGTATGCTACGGAAGCCCAATGCGGTAGACCTTGATACAAATGAATTTCGTTGTCATTGGGACTATAAGCGGGTGGTGGTGTTTCGGACAAATTGGAATACGAAGACTGAGGACTTCCTGGACTAGAAATCGTAGACGCGGGTGATGCCGGACCCATCTGGTGTGAAACGAAACCATTGGGTGAATAACTGACGTTATTAGGCATCAACGGTTCCGATACTTGCTGAAAAGCAAGAAGAGAATGGCCAGGAACAAAATCGTTGTGTCTAGGAACCAGAACTGGGGGTAAAACTGCAGTCTCCACCCTCGTATAATGATAAGGATTAATACACACGTCCTTTTGGTTTGCGGAAAACGGGTACAGGCAGGTCTCTATGGGTTTAAGTTCGTGGTGGCTTTGTAAGTCGGGCCAACGCCACACTCTGCAGTAAATCACGTGTGGCAAACCCTTTTTGTGAGACACCTGCAGTCTGCCGTCTAAACTCCTAGGAATCGTTACGCATCTGCTCTGGGTGTCTGGGCAAGACAAAGCTTTTTCCAAATCTTCTATAGCTCCTTTCCGTTTTTTGAGTTTCTTGACAAGGCTGTCGACTGCCTTTTCCGCCCATCTTTCTTCCTCGTCGCCCTGCTTCCAACCCAATAGCCGTTTCACTGAAGGGCTTGTGAATGAGAAGAGGTTATTTACAACCGACATCGGGCCCCTTCTTGAACTGTGAGCAGCAGCGACATCCATGACGCTAAAATAAAAAAATAAAAATGATGAAACGAAAATGTCAACACTTGATGGGTCTCGTAAAAAACTTTAACGTAGTGAATCATTACATAAAACATTTATATTATTTATATATTGTTTTAAGAGACTCGTTAGTGTTATTTTAATGACTAAAAAATACTGGACAAACATGTATCTAAGTGTTCAAAAAAAATTAATAGATAAAAGATATTGCTTTAGATGAATTAATGTGGAAAAAATTTTAGCATTTATTTCTGGGACACCTTGTAAAAGTGCTTTTACGCTTTCTAACAATTATATTATAAGAGACGTATTTTTGAGGTTATGATTAGGCTTAGTGCACGTGTAGAGTCTAACAGAGCCGGCGTTGGAGTCGGTGGCCTTCACAGCTGACTCGCGCGTTGGTGTCGCGTAAACTTTCTTTTTTACGTCGTCTGTGCATTGTATTTAAGCAACTATTTATAAATATATAATTTACATTAACAACTATTAGTTGGGGGGGAAGTGAAGTAAAATGCCAAAATTGAAAAGAAATAGACGGAAATTATTTAAAATGTTGTGGTGTGATATGAACGCATTATAATTTCTTGTTACAAAACTAAAGTGACAAAACATTTGAAGAGCTATGCCTTGTCCAGCGCTGAAGACTGTATTTTTCTATTAACTTACAGACGCCTTTCTTTCAAGCAATATTCCATAAAACAAACTAGAGAACCCCAAGTTCCGTAATTCCGTAAACTGGAATCACATGGACTGCCCCTAAATGAACAATTTGATATAATGGATGATATATAAAAAATATATAAGGTGCCAATATATATAATATATACAGGGTGTCTACACTTATCGGTGTACTGTTGCTAACTCCCTTATTATTGGAGATACGAAATCGATTAAAGTAGCAACCTAGCAGCATTTTTCCTATCGATTCTATTGGTGTAGTCGAAAAAACAATTGAGCATTGCGTTTTCGTAATTTAAGAAAAAACATTTCTTTAATGGAATACCCTGTATATATTTACATATTTTAAAAGAAAAAATTATTGTGGACAAAAAAGTATTAATATATAGCTCTCTTTAATTGAAACATAAATGAAAAATAGGCATCTAAAGTTTTTCACATGTACTTATTTCAATGAAATGAATGTCAGTACCGTCAAAAATGTAAACAGTAAAAAAACTACAACTAATTAGGTTAGTGTTAGATTAATAAATGTTCAAAAATGTTGCCTTCTTGTTCAATACATTTCTGAGCCCTTACGATAACACTGCGCGCTATACTCTGAATAGTTCTGCCATCAATGCTTCCCAAAACGTTTCTAATACTATTTTCTAATTCTAACACATTATTGTATTGCTGTCTATGCACTTTATCCTTTAAATAACCCCATAAATAGAAATCCAGCCGCGTTAAATCAGCTGACCGTGCTGACCAACGGATTGATGCCACTGTCCCCATCCATTGTTGCCCAAATATTGTATTTAATAAGTTACCGGTTCTGAAATAATGTGGATCCCCTGTTATAGGATTTTCTTGACTCCAATAATGTTGATTGCGTTTGTTGCACATTCCAGAATTTGAAAAATTAGATTCATCGGACCACAAAATGAACTTGTAATTATTTGGACGCTTAATAACCAATTGCAAAAAACAAACTTCTTTCTGCATCTCCAGCTACGAGGGTATGTACCCAAATCTTTTTAAAAGGATGATATTGGTGCTTCTTTAAAATCTTGTGGACTGTACTTCTCTTGACATCTAATTCTCTGGTAATATCTTTGATGGATTTATCTGGAAACGTTTCATAATAAGCTAACACATTGATTTCTGTTTCTTCATCTATTACAATAGTTTTTTCCCTTGTTTTTTAAATGTAGCTACATCATTTTTAAAATATCTGTAGAATTTTAAAAAATATTGTCTACTTGGTAATATTATAGTGATCGTACAGAATTTTTCTGCAAATAAGGTATGCCTCCAGCATTTCACATTTTTCTAAATGACTAAACTAAACTAAAGAAACATAAATAAGTTATACAGACTAGTGGATACAACAAGTATCCAACAAATTATTAACTTGACAGTTGTTTTTACAATTTGATTTTATTGTTGTCACAGTACCTTTTTTAGTATTTACATTTTTGACGTTACCGACATGAATTTCATTGAAATAAGTGTGAAAAACTTCAGATGCCTATTTCTCATTTATTTTTCAATTGAAGAGAGTTATGTACTAATACTTTTTTGTTCACAATAATTTTGTCTTTTAGAATATGCAAATATATGCAGGATGTTCCATTAAAAAACATATTTTTAAAAAAATTATGAAAACGTGATGCTCAATTGTTTTGCTAATTTAATCGATTTCGTATATCCAATAATAAGGGAGTTAGCATTAGTGCGCCGATAAGTGTGGACACCCTGTATAGTTCAACAATTTCTCATACTGTCCGTTGTCAACAGTAGACGTTGCTCGGTTATATTCCCTACACAAGTCAATATTAAGAAGTGATAAACGTCGCCGTTTAACTAAAGAAAACTTAGAAACGCACGTGGTAATATGTTTTAACTCCTTCCAATATGCCACGGAAGCCTTGTCTCAACGCAAGGTTTATCGGGTGGAGTCATTTAAATTTATATAGGTATTTTATCCTCTACTTAGCCTTGCTCTTTGGTAATAGCACTATGTTGCGACATATTTTCTGTAAACATATTAATATTTACATTCGCAATCTGACTACGGTCCTGTTAAACTCTGCGCCGCACTAAGCCTAGTTATGATAGTCAGTTAAAATTGAAGTGGGACTGGACAGAACGATTCCACTTTCAAGTATTTGTAGAAATGCATATAAATGTAAGGAAGGATAAACTTAGATACAAATATTTTTCGTGTTTGGTTTTTAAGACAGAAGTAGTAGAGAATGGTGGATTATTGTTACAGTGGATGTAGTGTGCTTCTAAAAAAGTTGTCAATTATTTTTCTATTTTTTTCAATAAATCTTTTCAATATAGTAGGTACATCACATTACATCCCTAATCACTTTTAAACAGAAGAGTAACGCAATTTGTAAGTGTTATACCTAAATTACCCGAAATATTCCTATGTAGTATGTATTTTTTAAAATATGACTGCACTTTCATATTCATTTTTAAGCGTAATATATACAAGTATATATCAAACAAATTTTGTATACTGAAAAAACTACCCTTTTTGAACCTGATTAAAACATTTTAAATTATTATTAAGAAAATGAACAATTCATTAACTTTATTTTATTTATGATATTATATTATTAAAGCAATGCGTCTACAAATATTCTTGTAAATTTAAATATAAAGAAATACATTAAATTCTTGCTAAAGACTAACTTTTGGTGCGACCCAGTCCGAGAGTTCTCCTTGATGTTTTATTGGCAACAAAAAAATACTATTGTTTTTACAAGGTAATATAAGTTGTTAAAAACATTCCCTAAAATGTTCTTGATTAATTTATTACAATATCTGTCTCGCTTTAGCTTTGCTAGCAAACTAAATACGTTACTAAATGTTTTTTTATTAATATTTATTAATACTGTTACAATGTGATTGCTACTTACACTGACAGAAAATCTGGCAAATTTTCTCACAACACGAAAATCGATAAATCCATAAATAGAACACACATCACAAAACTAGAAGTTTTATTTTGTATCGACACTACAACGCTTAGATAGTGAATAACTGACCTACCACTGTCACAACACAATTTAGCAAATATCTACCCTAGTGTGCCTCGTAGCGCAAGCAGGTAGACGGTAGACAGGACCGAATCAACAAATTACAGTTCTGAGGCATTTTTACACCCTTCAAGAAATATCGACGTGAGTAAAATGAAAAAGTGAATTAACATCAAACAAGAGTTTTTTTTTTTCTCTTCTGGAGATGGCCAGTTTTGAAACGGACACCCTACTTCTCCTATTCGAGATGAATTACATTTTCGTTCGTGCAATAAAACACCTTATTTTTTAATAATTTTTTTCTGCAAAATAAAGCGATTTGCCTCAAATACAGACACTCCTGGAAACAAAAAAATTGTACTTTAATTAAATAAATTGTGACGAAAACAGCATAGAAGCGTTTAAAACGTAACCAGGGCGGATCTGTTTTAGGTGGGTGTGAGAGGGGGCATGCAAATTTTTTCTGGATTACCTTCAGTACAACTCACATAATAAAAGTGTAGATCCCTAGATCTGGGCGAGGTCCAAACATTTTCAAAGTTGCAAAAATGTTTAAAAATTTTTAAAAATACATATTTTATCTGAGTTTTTTACTTGCATCTTGGAACCTATACATTTTGGAAGAATATTGAAGAAGAAAAACTTTTAGAATTGAATTTTGCACAATATATTGTAAGCTAAAAATGTTTAAATTTATTACCGATGTTGCAAAATAACAATAATTGATGAAACAAAGGTAAAATAATCAAGTTCTTTGGATATTTTTTAAAAATATTTAAGTTGCTTCGAGGGTATTCTAATTTTAAATTTTAGAGTAGGAATAAACACTACACCAAATTTCATTAAAATAAGTTCAATAGTTTTCGCAAAATAATTTTTTGAAGAAAATTTTGAAAAAAAAATTTCGAATATTCAGTGTTGCACAGCCTCAAATAAAGCATCTAGATACTTGAAAATTTTTTCACATAGAAAAGGCCGCTCAACCTTTCAAATGGTTTTTGAAATCGGTTGATTAGGACTGCCACAATAAATTTTTAAAATTAACACCCTTTATTTTATTTTTAAACAATTAGTTTACATTTATCAATTTGCAATTTAGTTTTTTCAAAAATTATAATTTTAAAGTAGGTATTATTTTTTCTTAATTTTGTCTGTATTTAACAAAAAAATTAATTTCCAAATAAAAAAATAATTTGTTTAAACAAAAATTATTTAAATAATTGTAATAATTATAACTAAATATATTCATATTCAGAACGTTAAAATATATAGGTAAACAAATTT